GGTTGGATTTGGTACCGAGCACGGCTGGCGGGCAAAGCATGAGCAGGTTTCTGAGGCGCCAAAGCAATGCGGCAATGTGAGGCCTTGCTCAGGCCCGGGACAGACCGATGCCGAACAAGTGAATTTGGCCACAATGGAGGCCAGCGCCCCGAACAGCTTTGAGCTTCACTCACCGCGCACAGAGGCCCAAGCCATGATAAGCCCCGAGAGCCCCAGCTCCCCAGATCCCGATTCCTTCCACAGACAAGCGTTGCAGACAAGTTTGCTCGTTTTGCTTCACCAGGTGCTGGACTGCTTCCCATTCTTGCTGGGTAGAGATGGCCGCAATTCTGAAGAGTCTCCACTCGCAGTCTACTTTGAGGATGGGGCTGGAAGCCATCTGCGTGGACAGTGGCACTGGGTGCGCCACTGCGTGCCACACGATCCTGGCAGTCGCAACGCTGCAGACATAGCGCCAGAAGGCCAACGTCCAGACTCTGACACCTTAGCTCTACAAGTGCAAAGACTTGGCCAAGCGTCGCCGAAGTTATATCTAGGACCACTACTCCGCTACGCTTGGCCAGGAGTGCGCGCACTTCCCCCGTAAGCTTTGAGCTTCTCCCCACTAGCTTGTTAGCGAACCTGTTGGCAGGACACTGCTCACAAACTGCGCAGGCGTGGCAGCAGTTCCCCCAGAAGTTCCTCCGGGAAAGATGCAGAGCATGGTGCCTTCCGCCAAGGCCATGGACCCCGTGTATGGCGCTTGATGTGAGTGTGTGCTGGCTCCAGCTACAATACTGCGCGCCCCTGGGGACTTCATTGCCTTTTTCATTGTGTGGGGACTTGCGCTGGAGAGTTGTCACTGTCATCATTTACTCCTCAAAGGAAGGGGCGTTGCAGGCAGTAGCCAGGCAAGTGCTGCCCTCGCTCTTTGCAGACGCGGGTGAAATCCTGAGTTGTTCTGAAATTTAGGCATTGGGCAGAACACACGCACAAGCGGTGACAAGCCAAGGCTCGGACAACGCTTCGACGAACTCTGTGGAACTGCGTCTCTTCACTGGCAAACAAGCAGAGTCAGTCAGCACGTGCAAGGAAGCTGCGTCAGACACTCTCCAATTGCGATGGCATGACCATCAGGTCTGAGAAGCCCAGTCACCAGGTCCTCACTGGGCCCCCAAGCAGCTAGAAGAGCTTTGGGCACACAAGGTGCAGTCTCAAGCAAGTAGCGCTGCGCACACCCGTGTTGCGCAACGCAGGTGCGCTAGGCAGCGCTGCGCGGTTAGCTTGGCCCGTATTTCCAGGTGTGAAGAAAATTTGCTTGGTGCAGACCATGCCTGCTCGCCACCCCTGGGCACTTAAGGGCGCATTCTAAAAATAGTCCCCAGAACAAAGACACCACCTTGATCCCCAGCGTCCTCAAGTTTCCAGGTCCTCAAATTCATGGTTGCGGCTATGTGGGGTTTTGCGTGGCATCTAGGCTTTTGCTTTGTCAGCAGAAATGTCGCTTCAGCGACTGCTGCTCTGGCCACACAGATAAGTGGCGTTTGCGCGCGCAGCGCTTGTGCAAACGCATTGCGTTGCGAGTTCCGCGGTGGGAAAAGTTTGGAGGTTGCAACCCTGTGGGGAAAGACGCAACTGATTCCGAATATCGCGCCAGTTCTCCGGAGTCGTGATAAACAAACTGGTTTTGCCAAAGCATCCTTCTAGGCCGCGCTGTTCAAGTCAAGTTGCTTTGTCTCGCTGTTTCTTGTCGGTGTGCCCGGACCATGTGTGCGACCCACCAACGTGTTGCAAGATGATGTTTGTTCCTATGTTTGATTGCACGGCCCCCATCATCCTTGGGCCCTTCCACGTCTAAGTTCATAAAGGGCTTCGCCTCCAGCAGCCAACCGTGAGCATGCCCCCTCCACAAATCGGAATTATGCGTTCACCTCTTCGGTGTTCTGTCCCACACGCAGTTTTGCATTTAAACAATCGGCGCTGCATGATCATGCGTGGACACAGGGGTGGCTATATGTTCTTGATTTGCGTGCCTTAAATGATTCCCCAAATCGATGCATCACCACCACGGCCCCTTGCTCAAATTAACAAGGCGGGACTGTTGGCGTCCAGCTTGCGAGATTGCCATGTTATCGTGTTCTTACTTAGAAGTGTGAGGAGAATTGCCTGTGCGCCAGTTTGCAGGGGGTCTGTATAGCTTCAGAAGAAGCCTGAGCGAATTAGCTTGCGGCGCTTCCTGTGCGTTAGCTTGTGCAGAATTTCTTTTGCACATACTTGCGATGATTTGTCAATTCCCCAGCCATGTTTGCAAGGGGAATTGAATTGCTCCTCTCACTAGTGTTCAATTCCCCAGCCATGTTTGCAGGGCAATTGACCTGCTTCTTTCACTAGACCCGTGTGTCCAACTGCTTTCCTCGCAACACTCTAGACGCCTGAGCGTTCAATTTCCCAGCCATGTTGAAGGGAGAACTGAGTTGAATTCGCGCTCAGCTCCATGTTTGCAAGGGGCGCGTGTCTGTGTGTGGAGCGTGTCAGTGATCTAGTTTTGGCTGCGTCGCATCGTGGCTGCTGTATGTTGTGCAGTGAAGGGTAAGCTGGACGCCAAGCTGGCGAAGTGGCAGGCGCCGTTTGCCACGCGCTGCACTCTGACAAGGAGCGTGCCCAGTGCCTGCGCAGCAGTCCTTGAACAGCAGTCCCTGCAGCGCAGTCCTCGCGCAGCAGCCCCCCTGCGCACGAGTTTCTGCGCGAAGCCTTTTGCAAAGCAGTCCCTGCGCAAGCAGCGCCTGCGCAACAGTCCCTGCGCTCCAGCCCCTGCGCGGCAGTCCCTGCACAGCGGTCCCTGCGCCGCAGTCTGTGCACAGCAGTCCTTTCCCATCAATGACCATTGAATCCGCGCGCAACAGTGCCTGCGGAGCAGCCCCGGCAAAGCGATCCGGGCCGCGCTTTTACTAGCCGTTGGCACCAAGTAGACCCCAAAAGCGGGTCAATTCAGGCAGGCTCTCGCGCCTCTCGGCGCAGACTTTCTGGCGTGCTGCGCGCGAAAAAAATGCTTGATAGTAAGGGGCTAAACAACAAACCCCGGTTGCATCTCACAACCTTAATTAGAACACAAAATGCATTATTATCAAAATCGAAAGTGAACCCTCTGAGCACTTTGAGCAGGTCGGATTGCTCTCGCTACGGCGCGTCGCGACCGTAACATCCAAAGTGAACCCTTTGCGCAGTTTGGGCGGGTCAGATCGCTCTCGCCGTGGCGCAATGCGAATGTTGAACATCGAAAGAACCCGCTGAGCACGAAGGTAAACCCTCTGTGCACTTCGCGTGCCTCGGATCGCTGGCTGCGGCACGGCGCGACTTTTGGACATCGAAGCTGAACCCTTTGTGGACTTGGGGCGGGTCGGATCGCTGTCGCCGCGGCCCGGTGCGAATTTTTAAGATGAAAGCGAAGTCTCTGCGCGCTTTGCGTGGGTCCCGGCTGTGGCGAATTTTAGCGATCCGCTCAATAGCACTTGCGCAGGATCTGCCAAGGTTTCATGTCGAGACATCTTTTAGAGGACGCTCTTTGCAGATCTGAAGCGAGAGCTTTTAGGGGGCTCTTTCTCGGAAATCCTGCGCACAGATCTTGCCAAGGGATCCCATCAAGAGACCCTGATCCCACAAGGATCCTTCCACCCAGGAATTTTCAGAAGCTGTTGCTTTGGCAACCTCGTTCCATTTTATATGTTACCTCGCATGTTGTGTTTAAGATATTGTTTTCTTCTTTTTTTTCATACACTGTTTGAGTCCCATTGCCGGTGTAATTTAGTTGTACCAGTTCTCAACTTTGTATTGCCAGAACTTGGTCTCAGATTTCCCACTCGGTGTAGAGTTCTCAATTATTAATGTTATTTTGCCAAGACTTTGTTTGCTTAGCTTAGTCTTGCCAGGGCCTGGCCCCAGTTTTCCAGTGCTTGATTTAGTTCTTGCCCTTGTTAAAAGTAGTAGTACCAGGGCTTGATCTAAGATTCCCCGTGCTCAATGTAGTATTGCCAAGACTTGATCTTACACTCCCAGCACCTCATTTAGCATGGCTAACTTTACACGTAGCGTTCCAGGGCTTGATTTCAGATTGCCAGCACTTAGCATTTTTTGATCTCAGACCCCCAGCACTTAAGTTTGAACTGCGAACTCTACATTATATATTTCATTTCTTGATCTCAGATTTAGCTTTGTCAGCTCTATATTTTGTAGCGCCAGGACTTGATCTCAGATACCCTGTGACCAATGTAGAATTGCGAAGGTTTCTTCGTCTAAGAGCGGCTGCAAACTTCACCTGCCAGTTCCGAGAGTTTTTCCACCCGCCAACTTCACCTGCCAACTTCTCGCGCCAACTTTACGAGAGTTACTTCACCCGCCAACCTGCCACCTTCTCATGCCTAGTTGTAGAATTAGTATGGCACGATGTGCTCTGCGCAAGAAAAGCTTGACAGGATTAGGTGGGCATCCCCTTTGAATGTTTGGTCTTGCGTTTGTCCTCCAGTTTGTTTTTTGTTTGGACTGAACACTTGCAGAGAACCCTAACATTTGAAGCCTCTGAGTTGGTGGTTTGTGTTTTTTGTCGGTGGCCAATTGTCCATTATTCAGGACCTTTAAGACAGCCGAGCGATCTTGAGTTATATAGGAACAACCTTGGCCTTCTTGAGTTCCATCCATTGGTTTGCTTTCTCCGTCGGTTTACGTAGGCCGTACCAGAAGCACAATCATATTTTGACCGTTACCAGCTGCGCGCCCCCCCCCCCCCCTCCCCCAGCAGAATTTGTACGGTGTCAATTTGTATGGTGTCATAGCAAACCAACTTGCCGCAGTTCCCACGTTCGAGGGTGAAAGCCGAGTTCCAACCCTGCATGTAGTTTGGACAGAGAGCCGGAAACTTTGCCCCTTGCATTTGCCAATCTTGCGCAAAGCACAGCCTGCCAATCTACCAATCAGGCTGACTGAACATCAGTGCAGCTAGCCGCCAATTAAACCCCCCTGAGCCTGAGGCAGCTTTGCACTGGTATCGACATCCGGGAGTCCGAGGGTCTGCTTCAAGTTGTTGCGGTCTGAGAGCGTCAACAGTGTTGCCTGCAGAGGCGCAGAGCCACGTGGCTCGGAAAGCCGAAAGCCCATGACTGCGCCTCCATGGTCAACAGAAACCTCCTTTCGATGTTTGGTAGGCCTCCGCATTGCACTTCACCTGTCCAGCGGCATAGAGCTGACAGGTTGGCAAAACCGGATTGCCTCAAGATCCAAGTTCAGCCGTGGTAAGATAGCAGATCCAGTGGGGGCAAGGCTGCCAATTGAATCATGCTGGCAGTCCAAAGCGGGTGCTTCCAGGCTTCGCGGACCAGAAAGAGAGTTGACTCTGCCTGAGCTTGGCAAGTGGCCCGAAGCATTCAAGGTCATTCATTTGGATGACGGAGCTCTAGAAGGGGCAACTGTCATAGCCTTAGCGGAAATTAGAGGAAGGCGGGTGGAACTAGAACGATCTTACAGCGGGCAATTGTGGCATGGTATCCAGCGAGCTTTATGATTCCCGCAACTCTGCACGCGAAGGCAATGTTCATCTCTCACCGTCACAACGCGTGTCATGCATCACCTTACGGTGCCGGGAGCAACCTGCGCCCTTCCAGGGGCGCGTGCCTCTGGAAGAACTCTTTGCTGCGGACATCTCAGAAGATGAGCCTTGCTCTCAGACCAAAGAATCACCACTTATTTTAGACCTATACGTGTCGCTCATTTTTTGAGAATCACGATTGAAACCAATTCCTCCTTCAAGGCACCTTCTGGCGGCTTTGACTGAACCTGCGAGCCAAGGTTGAGCGTTTTTCTCCGGGGTGATGGGTGCGCCATTCCTGCTTCTGTGTCATTAATTTGTGGAATTGCGCAAGCCCAGAAACTGCCATGACTGCAAGGAAACCATCTCTTGAAGGCCTGGCAAGTAATTGTGTTTGCGAAAGAGCTAAAATTGCGTTTTTTGAGGGCCTTCCAACTTGCTTCGGCTTGTTTGGCCAGGTTCCAGATTTGCACGGGTCGCTTTACGCAGAAAGTGGTCCCTGAGATGAGCGCCTGGCAGATTCGATCAGAGTCTTGGCGCTTTCTGTGGCCTTGCAAGGTTTTTTTGCAACCCAGCCACTCAGCATGATCCAGTTGATGCGAAGGCGCATTTGAGGTGACGGCCTCGCCCGAAAATGTTGGCACTGGTGTTACCTTATTGAGCCACACTTGGCCCCGCTTCTTGCTAAACCTACAGTACACACATGATGTCTCGCAACAAGACCTTACCACAGGTTGTTAACTGTAAAACCACAGAAATTATGGACATGATCCCAAGTGCAGGGAGTTTTAAGATGTAAACTTCTGGATGCCCAAAAAAAACGTTTACAGAATAATTGTGGCACAGTCATAGAAGACGTGGACAATGGTGGGTACAATGTCCATCTCCAGTTTCTCAGGTAAAGAAAGGAAAGAAAGGATTTAGCAAACACGTGAATTAAAAGAGTTATGGTAGGAAGATTCTTGACTGGGGTGTACCGCTTCTAGAGACTTTTGAAAGATAGGTGCATCATAATGCCCAAACCCTCCACCGAAGCAACACATTCTTCATCATCGAACAAGGTGAATACGAAGGAGAAGAAGGCTTCTGGGTTGAGGATGAAGAAGGACTTGAAGGATTCATGTCAAACAACGATGAAGAGACGTTCTGGGTCCTCGAGGAGAACGATGCGTTCATAGCAAGAAAAGTGTCGGGGCGGAACTTCAAGTTCAAGAAGAGAAAAGGAAAAGGAAAATCAGGAAACAAAAAGGGCAGTCACCAACGAGGTGGCTTCAAACCCTTCAGAAAAAGCGGTTCTGGCGGAAAGGCCAATATGGCCAACGAAAACTATGATCCCTACGACCAGGCATACTGGGGAAAAGGCAAAGGAAAGAAGCGAAAGAAAGGAATATCAAAGTTCCAATATCCCTATGATGGAAACAAAGGTTATCCATCCTATGAGAGTGGTAAAGGAAAGAGCGGACAGGAGAAAGGAAAATCCAAGACGTTCGCAGCCACCGCAGAAAAGACGGAGGAGCAGCCCGCCACCCAGCAGACTGCACCATCCATAGAGCCTACCTATGCCGGTTGGACAGGCAAAGATTGGGATCAATCATGGACATGGAATGAACAAGGCTGGTACTCATCCCATGAGACATCCAGCACAGGGCAAGCGTTAATGGCGTTCCATGATGCATATGAGCATCCTGGGAAAAAGGCCATCCACGAGAAGCTGATCTAATCAGATACAGTTTCAGAACACAATCTGTCCGTAACAACAAATCACAGCCTTCTGGCAACAAAGCTGATGGCGCCTGTCATCAACCCTCAGCACAACCCGACCTATGCGATTCTGGACAATGGATGTACCAGATCTATGGGCAGCTGGCATGCAATCCAGCGTTTTACCCAGGCAATCGAACCAATGAAGGACATCATCTCCTATGAGTACATCCCGGCCGAGACCAAGTTCACTTTTGCAAACGGAGAGACCGCCAGGGTAAATTGGACCCTGCATCTTCGATATCACACAACTCCTCCGTGCAGTACCAACATCGACGTCCTTGAACAAGGAACTGTACCGATCCTTCTCAGCATCAGCCAGATGCGGAACCTCTACATGACCATCGAGCACACACCTCAATGTGACAAGATCACATGCAAGGCCTTTGGCATGAACCGTGAAGCAGTTCCAGTATCCGGTACAGGACATGCGCTCGTCGATCGCTGGAGTTGCAAGAGTGAAGGCGCATGGAGAAATTGCTCACAAGGGCCTCACCAACTATGTCTATGACGATGATAACAGCATCAAATTTCCCTCCGGGGATCTCACCAAGAGCGAAACTGTTTGTGCAGCAAAATCATCCGAGACAAAGGAGGACTTAGCAACTCCTAAGATCATTGGGTCTCAAAAGCAGGACCATTGGATCCTTGACAAGAAGAACAAGCAGCTCATCCGTGTGCGCATCACGCCCCGAAAGGCGCTGTTCACACCAAATGGAGCCAAGGAATGTCCAATCAATCCTGATCACATTAGCCGAGAACGTACCACGGAAATCATTGATGCATCCGCAGGTGGAGATCCAGACATTTTAAGACAATTGGAGACTTACATCCCAGGCAAATAAACCAATGATTAACCTGTGGATAGGTAAGACCATTTTCACCTTCTCGGACAATTCGCTTAAGGACGAGGAAGCAGGTTCAGGATCGGCAGCAGACAGGATCATTAAGGGGCCGGTCGACTATTGAGCCAGATCCTTTCGCACCATCCTCAGAAGAACCAACATCGCTTCCGCTTGCCCTAGGCAGAATCCACAAGCGATTGTCAAATCCCGAAGAGTTGAAGAAACTCCACCTGCAGCATCATCACATGACCACAGATCAATTTCGATTTAGAACCCGGGCACTTCATTTGCCGAAATCAACATTCGATCTATTTGACAAGATCCGAAGTGAGTGTGAAGTTTGCCAAGTGGCAAAACATGCACCATCACGAAGCAAGACAAGCGAACTTCGAGCGGACACCTTTGGTGACATGACATTCATTGATCACTGTCAAGTTCCTCTTGGAACAGGAGAACACATCATTGTTTTTGTCATCCTGGATGGAGCAACAACATTGCTCACTGCAGAGGCAGTGACAACTACGCAAGAAGTCGAGAACATCACTGTCCTCAGGAACTATTTTGACCAGTGCCACTTGCAGCCCAAATCAGTTGTCGCAGATCAAGCCTTCATGACAGATACATGGGAACATTTCTATCAGTCCCTTGACATCACACCGATATCCTTGGGACCGAATACACCATGGCCAAATCGAGCTGAAGCAGCAGTTCGACTCCTGAAGGCACAACTCAAGATCATGCTAAGTTCCATCAAAGCAGGCACTGCACCTGCAACACTGAAGAAAGTGACCTACAGGCAGCTAGTGAAGGCCGCTGCAACTGTCAGGAATCAGACCGTCACCTACGGGGGAGTAACACCATTGGAGCTCGCATTCGGAAGACGACCAGCAGATCTCATCCAACTCGATGTCGCAACACCAACTCAGTTGACGATTGACAGGAATGAAGAAGAGATGACAGCCATCCAGATCAAGCAGCTGTCAAAGCAAGCTTTCCAAGAAGCACGTCAATCCGAGGACATCCGACGAGACCTTGCTCAAAATCTCCGAATGAGTTCAAAGCCTCTTCAGGTGAAGGACAAGGTATTCTACTGGCAGGAAGACAAATCCAAGATTCGTTCCGATGGAAGCAAGGGAGGAATATGGCTAAAGGGAAAAGTCATTTCCATTGAAGGAGCGATGGTAGGACTTGATCTTGGGACTCGACTCATCAAGGTTAACATGACGAAGCTCAGGAAGGATGAGACCATCCCTCCGGGGAAACCCGGAATTGACCTTCTGTTACCTGAAGAGCGAGAATCCTTGCAGAAGGAGCAACCAGGCTCCTCTGTAGATACCAAGAAAAAGGAATCATCCGCACCAGCTCCTAAGCCAAGATCCTCAGTGCCATTACGTATCGCGGGAAAAACAACTCCAAAACCTGCAGTACCTCATCCAGCAGAGAACATGTTCGTCGAGGACCTCACATCCATTCCTGAACAAGCACATTGGAATTGTGTACGTAAGGGAAAGATCCACGTTCTCGAGATCTTTGCAGGAAGTGCCAGATTCAGTCAATGCTGTGCACTATCAGGTCTTAAGGTTGGGACTCCCGTGGACATCCGCACAGGGTTCGATGTACTGACATCCAAGGGACGACACATGGTCATGGAGATCATCAGGGAACAAGCACCTGATGTCATCCTTATGGCACCGGTCTGTGGACAATGGTCAAATATGCAGAACATCCAGCAAGACCAACAAAAGGTTGGGGAAAAGCGGAGACGCTACCTTCCCATGGTTGAATTTGTGGCATCCATTGCGCGTTATCAGTTGAAGCGCAGAAGATACTTCATTATCGAAAATCCTCAGACATCCAGGATATGGTATCTGAAATGCATGCAACAATTGTTTTCAGACCCATCTGTGACCTGGGGAGATTTCCATTTCTGTGCATACGGACTAAAAAATCCTGAATCCGGGCTCAGAAGTCTCAAGCCCACGAGCTTGATGCACTGTTTACCTTCCGAGGTTATGAGACCGATCTTCAGAAGGTGTAATTTTTTTCCAGCTCAGTCAAGCATGAACACCAACCCCTAGAGGGAAACGCTGGTACCTTCGGAAGCAGAACCAAACTGGCACAGGTGTATCCTTACCAGTTCTGTCAGGATCTTGCGCACATCCTCTTACGACACTTGCAGGTGAAACCGCTTGACAATGAGGTGTACCTCTTGGAGGACCTTTTTGAACCATTCACCATCAAGCAGGTTGATATCCTGAGAAAGGAGATGGAAGCCATTGACAAGGAGTTCAACATGACCAGCAGCAGTCTTGCAGTCAGAATCCAAGACCTGCCGTTCAACAAGGACGTTCAACCATTAGTCATCCAGGATCCGCTAGTTCAGAAATTCCAGAAGACGATGAAGCAGTACCCACCTGGGACTGAAATTGATATCTTCAAGCAAGATCCTAATGACTGGCGATGTCAGAACATGTGGAACGGCTGTAAGAAGTTGAGACAACTGTGCATCTCATCCACTCAGTATGATGCATGCACCGCATACGTTCACACCATTGGCATCAATATGCCTATTACGTCACCTCCGGACGATGCAATCATATCCTTCTGGCAGCCTGATCAGCTGCATAGAATTTGGGTCTTGCCTGCATCAAAACGCAATTGGGAGAAGTATGATGCGACGACTTGGCATGCTGTGATGTTTTCATCCGTTCATCAGTCGTTCACCGATGGGCCGGCCATCAAGCCGATGCCCATCGAGACGGATCCATTGGATCCAACGGATGCGCCTCAGCAACCTGACACGCAGCAACCGCCTGATCAACCGGACCATCCCATGCCTGATCCAAGACCTCCAACACCTCCGGACGAGAGCATGTCAGATCCTGCTCCGGATCCTCCACATCAGCCTGATCATCCCATGCC